TGCAGTAGTAAAATGCTGATCGGATGGGCAGTTTGGGGCTTCATAAGAATCACTGACACTCAAAAAATTACAAAACATTCAATGCAGTTTAAACTGAGATAATAAAATTATTGCAGTCCAAAATAGAATTGCTTCAACAAATGCCTTTCAAATAAAATTAGATTTTCGGGCACTTCAAATATTTTTCAAATTATCACAAATTGTTTCTTAATTGCCATAAGCACTATCTTAATATTTTCAGTATGATCAAAAAAAATATAAGTATTTCAGACTTCCAAGAGACAAACTGAGTCTCCTCTGATCAGGAATAACTGAGGAAGATTGCTGATGCAAGAGAGCAGTAGCAGAAAAGGTAAGATAAAGAGAATCAATTAGACTATGACCATGTAACAGAAAGTATTAACAAGAACAGACCCCAAAATTTTCTGTTAGTTATGATTTCCACTTCACTTAAATATTTCATACAGCTTAACTGAGGTTCCAGCTAACGCTCCCTAAAAACCAGAGTGCTGAAACATGGTAATGTTTATCAGCAGGCAAGACTGTGCACACATAAAGCTTCGTATATGTGCTAGAAACAATTCTAGCTAGTCTCATTTGGAAAACAGTGACTTAGACTCAGTGCCAATTGAGACACGCTGCAGGGATCATAACTTTGCAAGGGCAAATCAAACTTTATTCTTTCTGAAGCTAGTGACCTAAACATGGCCATAAAAAACTCAGCAGGGGCAGGATATACTGCCTCTGGCAGCCTGCTGCTTCTCAGAATTTTCTTATCATTTGCAGTTTGTGTGTGTCCACGATCAAGCCTGCAGCCCATTGGAAGGTTCCAAATTTAGCTGGAGTGGGCCATGTTAGTATTGCAAACTGCATGCTCTGAGAGAAAAAGGGCACAAGAGACAATACTCCAAGTCTAATCATGGTTACAAACCATATACCATTGCGCCGTTCCACTTCTAAAAAAGAAAAACAGCCTGTATAATATCAATGCAGTGTGCAGAGCAGTGTGAACGTTTTTGTCCTGGCTGGTTAGGACACTAGAAGGAATACTTTCAGTGAATTCAACATAAATCTCCGTTCTGAGTTACACTGGTAGAACAAAAGCCATTTACCCCACCCTTATTTTTTTCTCCTCTTGATACAAGCCAATTAGCTCATTTTATTAAAAAAATGAAAATTGATCTAGTTTTTTTCTAACAGAGGCTATTATCTGGTTTGGGTATTGTCACTGTAGCTTCACAGGCAAATATCAAGTGTAGATGGAACCAACACTTGGTACTTATAAAGAAAAAGTTTCAAAAATATTGTGTTCATTTTACTATAATAATCTTTGTAGAGTTTTACAATCAACACTAAGAACCGACTCCAACATATTATTAGCTATATGTTTCTAAACAGTAGGTAGGCAAATGAAGATAGAGAATGAAAACAACTTCATAAATCATGAAAGATTACATCTGAGGTATATTACATTAAATATAGAACATTTTATTACTGGGACGTTAACCACTTAATGTACATTGTAAGAACAAGTAAGTGTTAGTGAAAATGTTGACAAAAAACCTGGGCCAAAATTTTTAAAAAAAAAGCCCTGAACTGAAAAGGCATTGTCAGAATAAACAATTCTATTAAAATACAGTAACCAGAGACAAGCCACTGCAAAATAAAACAGGAACTATCCATACAACTCACAAAAGCAAAACAGATTATCTGACCCTGAAAGACCTTTGATTCTGCAAAGACTCATACAGGATTATGCTGTGTTAGGCTGGATTTCATTTAATCTGAGCAGAAGTCAGAAGTGCCCCTAACCAATATGAGCAGGATTAAACCCATTCCAGTGGGAAGAAAGGACAGGAATTAAAAATAGATTTAAGAAACTAGGTGCCAAAGGTATCAGTTTTTGATTTTAGGATATTCAAAAGCTTGAGAAGAAAAAAATAAAAAAAAAGAGTAAATACTAAATATACAGAATATAACCTTTGGCATGCTGTTTGCTAGCTTCACTAGAAATTGTAAGTCTGAAATTGCCTGGAATAAGGAAAAACTGAAAAACGTCTGACTACCTTGACAGAGATTAGTTTCAGTGAGAAAAACAGAAAATCTAAGTAGAGTTATCAACTTCAACTACTTAACCTAAACAGACAGGAAGTATTTCCAATGAAGTCTTTGTGCGAAGAAGTTACTAATGGTAACTTAGGACAAGAATGAAAATTACTCAGTGGCTCAAATTATGCTTACACCAGAGTCACACACAGACATGAAATCGGTCTTAACAACAGAAGTTTTTAAACATAATGTAATGCTGCTGAAAAGCATAAAATCTTATTATTTTGGTTCTTTACAGCATAGACATACCTTGTCGCTTTGGCAGCTTTATTTTGTCAAATATTTTAAATAATTATGACCAATTTTGCAGCAATTAAACAGACAACACTATATTACCAAGGAAAATTGGGAAGCACTGTACCATAATCCCACTGCATTCCCAAGAGCAACCAGTAAGCCTTGTTGATGATACAGAAGTATAAACATTTCCACTACATATTCCTTTATAACAAAGATAATGAAAATTACGCTGTTTAATTTCAAATACTTGCCTTAACCTGTAATATTTCACACACCATGCTGCCAACATTCCCACTACATAGCATACTACAACAGGAACAAACAGTTCAATATTGTTTGTCAGCACAAGCTCAAGCAAGGCTGGTTAAGATTAGTTACAATGAGAAGGAATACTAACAGAAAATAAGGTTATCCCCTATGAGAATGTGTAAAGAATTTTCATATCTCATGATTCCACAATCTCTGACTTGAGAAAAAGATGGCTTCAAAATATGTAATAAAGGTGACTGCTTGTTTCAACACTGTTTCACTTTGGGCTATTTTCTATCAATCAGAAGTCACAAGCAGCATCTAAACTGCTTAAAAGACTTGCAGTGTGGCTCTATCACTGTGGCTCATAGCTTTCACAATCCACTTGCAGCATTATGCTCTGCATGGTAAATTCTTAGATAGTTCTAAAAAGCTCAGTACACTACCTGCAGCAATATGGAGTACAACATATATGGAGAATTAGCTTCTCCAACAATCATTTTACGGGAAAACTCAAAAGTTCAAATTGAATAAACATTTGAAGAGTCCAATAATTTATTATCTCCAAACCAGTTGAGTAAGTCCTAGACTTTTGGACTGCCTCTTGAGAATCATCAAAAGTGTACTCATTCGACTGTCCATGCATTACATGGAAGCTATTCCACGAGAACACATCAGCACCAGACTGAGACCTCTTTACTCAACTACCTTTAAAAGGGATTACTTCCCACATTTAACACTTTTTATATATACCTACATACACATCTATTTCAGCAAGAGTTCCATGTACTAATGACATTGGTCTCAATGACAGGACTTCTAAAAAATAATGCAAAGCTGCTTAAAAACCTCATATAATTAAATGTAACAACAACAAGGAGATACATTTTCAGTAGCATATCTGTTGAGTAATGGATGCTTTCCTTGCTAGGAGATGGATATAGAACAATAAAGTTTTAACATGTGCTGTCCAAAGTTTTAACAAGGACCAGGACTACTATATAATCTATTTGAAAAATGCTTATCTAATAAAATTTGAGTTTTCTAAGAAGATATAGTTTAAGTATTTTCCACAATGAAGGACACAATAGTTTAAAAAAAAGAATTTAAAAAGTAATTATTTGTTCTTGACTCAGAAATAAATGTTTTCAAGAATAAAGGCAGCTATTTATCTGCTTGTAGTTCAGCCTGTTTAATCACTGTTAAGAGATAAGACATAAAAACATACAAAGTGTTCAATACTTCCAAAAATTCTTAGATATAAGTAGATAAATGGCACTGCAAGCATAGACTGACCTCTTCACTCATCACACCTAAACCCTCTGGCCTACAAAGCATTTACGTCTTCCAGTTTGAAACAACAAACCAACTCTAATTGACAGTAACTTCTTATCTGGAGGAAGAAGAGGAAAAAGCTCACTGCCTCCATGAAAAGGATAAAGTTGCGAAATCGTGTACAAAGATTATTTTATAAATAATAATGATCTGTCATAAGCACCCTTCTGAGTGTCCTGACGCTCCAAGGCAAATCACATTTTAGCATCCAGGGCACACATTTTGGACATAATAAGAGGAAATAAGTCTGTGTAATGCATTTCAGACAAAGTACGAACTACAAAAGTATTACTTCCGTGAAACAGCTATACGTATTTCTTTTCAAGAGACAAAGCCGTGCATGACTGTCTAACAGCACCTGACATGCAGACCGGGCACCGTGGGGAAGTTTCCCCTGAAAGTTACCAGCAAAAGGCGGAGCTCGCTACAGGCCGTGTGTCTGTGCAAAGCACAGGTCCATCGTTCAGCAGGAGCACGGCTGTCAAGGGGAGAGGGGAAAGGCTCCGTGCTAAAGCAGAAGGCAAGCCCTGCCTTCTCCGGCGGCGGACACCGGCGGAGTCCCCGCCGCTGAGGCGAGGCAGCTCCGCGTTAAGTGACCCGCTGTGATGCCAAGGGGGCCGGGACGCGCATTACCTGCCGCACCACCGGGGCCAGGAGGGCTCCCGCAGCCCAGTCCCGCCTCACGACGGGGTCTGACCACCGCGGACCGTGACCCGTCTGCGGACCGCCGCCAGCCGCCCCCGCGCCCCGGCTCCCGGCGCGCCCGCCCAGCCCTGCCCGCCGCCCGGAGCGGGGATGCTGCTGCCTTACCTGAGCCAGCACCGTCGGGAACACGCGCGGCCGCCCGCTGCAACACGCCGCCAGGCAGCCTCCCCCGACCAGAGCAGCGGCGGCGGCGGTCCCCCATGCGGACGGGCGGCGCTGGCTGCGCGGAGGCCGCATCCCGGCGAGCCGCCCCCGCAGCGGCGCTCGGGCGGCCACCGCCACTCTCCACGCCGCCGACATCTTCCCGGAAAGCGCCGCGGCGGCCGCGCCGCGCATGCGCAGTGCCGGGCCCGAGGCCGCGGGGCGGGGGCAGCTCCGGCCCGGTCCCGCCGGGATCGCGCCGGCCGCGCTCCGCCGGCGGGAGCGGCGCCACCCCCACAACCGGAGGGCACGGACTGGCAGAGAGGTAACCTGAAAGGAGGGTGTAGCCAGACGGGCGTTGGCTCTTCTCCCAGGCAACAAACGACAGCACGAGAGGACATAGTCTCAAGCTGCGCCAGAAGATGTTTAGGTTGGGCATTAGGAGGAATTTATTCACAGCAAGGGTAGTTAGATATTGGAACGGGCTGCCCAGGGACCTGGTGGTGTTTAAGGAAAGACTAGACGTGGCACTCCGTGTCATGGGCCGGTTGACATGGCAGTGTTGGGCCACAGGTTGTGTTCGATGATCCCAGAAGCCTTTTCCAGCCTAACTGGTGCCCTGTTTCTGTAACGCAGGCGGAGTGCGCCCGGTGCCTCCGTCCCGGGCCGGGGAGCTCCCAGGTGAGGGCAGGCGGCAGGGCCCCTTCCAGGCGGGTTCCCGGTGGGGAGGGAGGGAAGGCGGGCAGGGCAGGGAGCAGGTGTTGGGCTGTGCCAGGGGAGGGGGCAGGGAAGGCCTGGCCTGTGCGGTAGGGAGTGAAAAGTGGCGACGCTCGCAGCGCCCCACGGCCCCAGGGGTGCCCCGGCCAGCCCGGTGTGTCTGTCAGTGCTCAGCTTCGCCTCGTTCCCTGGTGTGACTCGTCTCCCAGAGCAGATTCCCACTGCTGAGAGCAGGAGGAGCAATCGATCACAAGCCGGACTCTAGGTACTACGGGAATCCCGGGGTTCTGAGCAAGGCAGGTTAGGTGAGCTTCCACAAGCAGGGCTGACCCGGTGCCCATGATTTCCGAGGCGTTAATGGCCCCTGTGGATGTGCTGCTCAGTGTGTGATCCAGATCAGAAACAACAAAAGCATGAGCAAGTTTGCAATATCCTTCTCAAGGGCAGACTAGAGTTTCTCGTGAAATACAGATAGCAGAAGATGAGTTTATGGAAAAATTGTCATGGCAGAGGTGTTAGCTGAGAAGCATTACAGAATGACTTGGTTGGCAGTAATGCTTGTGCCAAAAGACCACTACTCACAACGAATGCTTCAGACTGCTTTTTTTTTTTCCTCACTGCCATAGTTTTAACAAAGCTCTCTAGTTCTTGGTTGGTTACATTCAAACATTAGTTAGTTGATCACATTCAAAAATTGGGCCATCTGAAAATTAATGATAAGGTTATATGAAGTAAAGCAGAGAGTAAGTTAAATGTCATTTGTATGTTGGCAGTACCGATATCCTTGTTATGAGAGTAGTTCACCTAGTGACTCCTTGTGAGTGCTGCATGCAATTTGCTATTACTTTGGTCTTTGGTTGGGGGCCTTCAGAAGGTACTCAGTCTGTTTTAGCAAACTGTATCTTCCACTTCTTTCTGATATGACAGCCAATGCTGTGATGTCAACATTACAAATGTTCTGGTATGGGCTCTGTAACATGGAAATGCTTTTTTGCCCTCTATCCACTGACAAAAGGGGGTCATCCATCACTGCCATCAAAGTAATTTTAGTTCACTCTCCTTCCCTGACCTGAATTCAGAGTCATGAATTCAGTTTCACAGAGCATCGTTTCAGTCATTTAACTAATGGCATTTCAGAATTTATCCCATTTTCTTTCAGCATGTGTTGTTCACTGAGTGTCATTCTGTGAAGTGTTTGAGATGTCTTCAAGAATCTCAGGACTCAAGTCCTTAGCAGGATACAAACCCTTCAAAAACACCTTCTCTGGGGAACACAAATGACTGCTCATTGCAAAATTACCCAGGATGAATGGTTTCCATCTCTACATGCTAATGTACTTTGCAAAAGGTTTTTCCTGTTCCTAGAGACCTAGAGACTAACTCATATGGGAAAAGCCTTTTTAATCCCAATATAAAACATAGGAGCAAAATCTGTCAATTGTTAAACACATTGGAAAATCCCACTTCTTCTGTAAAACTTGCAGGAAATTCCTACTGCCTATTTCTGTTTCCCTCTAGACAACATATTTCCCATCCTAATCTTACAGTTTGACACATAGTATTTTTACAAACACTTTAAAAGGACTTTACTTTCTGTGTAAGCCAATAGTGAGCACTTCATGAGTGCTGGCAACATCTTAGAAGCATCTTGTAAAGGATGGCTGAGAGATTTGATTTCTGAATGCCAGATCCCTTGATGTTGAATACACATCCACAGCACAGGCAAGGAGGTATAATTCATTGTTCCAACAGGCATTTTCAGTTTTTCTTCAAGTAAAAACAAATAAGTAGGTCATTTGTCTTTCCTCAGATGGCATTCCTGCCTGGAGCAGATGCAGCTGCAGTGTGAAGGAGAGCTGTCCTCATGTGGCTGAGAGCACGCGATGCTGATGGGCAAGTTCAGTGTCCTCAGCCACCCCTTGTCTCCTGCACTAAATTCACCTCGTGGGCCCAGGCTCCTGGAATATGAAGCTGCCACTCGTGCTGCTCACAGCTGTGCTGCTGCAGTTGTGAGTGCTGTGAGAACACACGCCTTAAACAGCTAGAGAGCTCCTGGTGAGTCACACAGTCCTGTTGCACCCCATGCAGTATCACTGCAGGGTGGTTTATGACAGAAAGCAAAGATCTATGTGGTCTGATGCTGACAGTCTGGTAAATGTAATAAAGGTTTCACCAGACAAAATGAGTTATGTGGTGACAAATGTCATCAGCTACTGCATGCTGCAGCACCAAAGTGTTACCTCCCTTTGCTGTCCTGCTCAGTTTGCTCTTCCATGCTCTTATAAGCAGAAATCATTACATTTAGCAAGATGTCCTACCTGCTTTTTTATATAGTGCCTTCTGTGTGGTGATGTCACACTTTGTACAAGAGGTGTTTGCATTCCTGAAAATTTGAAAAAGCAAATGAAAATACTAATAAAATGTTTTCTGAAATGTTTAAAATGTAATTTTTCTTTAAGATTCAATGTCCCACTGAATAGTTACGTAACAATGCTTAAATGCAGTCTTTTCTTAGTCTTTCATTAGGCACAATAAATATAATGTAAAGTCACATCAAAAGACAAAAAACATACCACCATGAAACAAAACCCTTGTGAGTCCTGTCATTCTTAGGAAATCATGTTTGGCAGAAACTTATTCCTTTTAAGTTTTGTTACAAAGTTAAAAAAAAAGCCAAGTAAACATACATCTCCTCATGCCTGAAGGTCCACTTCCACATCTCAGTGACTTTTAAGAGTGTTAGGCCAAGTTCCAAGAGGGATTCACTCTCTACTAGAACTCCAATCCCCTCAAGAGCATTAGGCTTAGTGCCAGCATTCATTTACTCTTGGAACAGCTTAAATTAACTCCTGTTACATTCTGTCTAAACCCTTTCTTACAGAGTAAGAGTTGAGAGCTGGATTCAGTCGGTTAGTCTGAAGGCCACCCATCATGCTTGTCTGTCTTCCTGGACTTAAAATGCTGCATAAACTGGATTGGGGAAGGCAGTGATCAGCTGTTTCTAAGTTGAGGGAGGAAGCTGGCAAGCCATCTTTTGTATACATGTCCCCATCTCACAAGAAATAGCGTGGGGGTTGGTCTGACTTATTTAACATAAGTACTTATGACAGTAAGCTCCAACCAAATGTGAGATTTTAGTAGGCTGTACAGTGTGCTAACAGTATTTTGATACTTGCCTGGCAGAGCTGAACAGACAAGCTAATCAAAGGACAACAAATATCACTGTTTGGTTTTATAAGTCAAGAACTGGATTGTCAGATTATATTTTGCCCAATGTCAGACAGAAGATTGAAATGGAAGGTCTCACAAAGCCAGACCTTCTTTAGCCGAGTCAAACTTATATGGTCTCTGAAGAATATCACTTCTGTTTTACTTTAGCAAACATGAGAACAGTCTGTTTGCCTATGAGTATAAGGCAAACACTCTGAAGCAGGTAAGGATGTAAGCACAGGGAAGACAAGTTTTCTGAAAAGTGATAACACAAAATGTTCTTAGCACACTTAGAAAAGTACAGGGTGATTGACAGAACTCGACAGTCATTAAAGTTGGCCAGGTGATACCTTGGTCTCTATCCAGAGGCTCAAAAGTCCTGTACCCAGGTCTTCATGGTGAAGGCTAGAAGTTGAGTTCAGGGATTTCCAAAGCTGCCTTGTAAGACTGTTATTCACAGAATTGTTAGAACCTTTCAAGGTCATCTAGTCCACCTCCCTCCAATGAGCAGAAACATCTTTAGCTAGGTCAGGTTCCTCAGAGCCCTGTGCAGCCTCTACCATTTTCATAATTTCTATCTATCCCTCCTCCACAAGAAAAAAAGAAAACAAAACCAAACAACAGATAGAGGCGAGATTACTTTCAAGGAATCTGAATTACCTTCCTCCAATGAAGAATCTTTTAAGCTGTTAGTTTACAGAAAGTCCAGTTGTTTTGTATGCTTTGGAGATGATGGAAATGGAACTAATTACTAGACAGTCAACATTCATCCACTAGTAGATCTGAAAATAAATATGAGCATTTTGTGGCTAGATAACACTATTCAGCTCATAAATAAGAGTTCACAGCAATCTTTGCAGTTAGGAGCTACACTATAAATATAGCTTATCTCCAAATATTTTCAACTTGCTAAAGTTACTTGAAAGCTTATCATGATAGAGTCCATTTAAAAGGAAAAGAATTAAAATTTATCTAAGATATGTGTCCCCAAATACCTCTCATAGCATTCATTTATACTGACCTTTCTAACACACTGTCTTCCCACACTCTTTGTATGTAGTTAGCTGAAAAACTATGCTGGTATATGTAACACAAGTTCCCTCAAACTTCAGAATTACTTTTTTTAACTGAAGTTGAAAATCAGAGAAAAATAGTTGAAAGCAAAATTTAAACACTAATGTGAATACAAAAAGCAGATCAAAACTGATTCTCTTTTGTGAAGGAATATTCATTTTTTAAATTTGGAAAGTTTATTTGCTATTACTTTCCAAGTAAGGCTATAGGTCTCAGTTCTGTGACAAGTTTCATATATTATACCTAATTTTAAGCATTTTGAAAAATTCTGTGGTCTGAAGTAAGACTACTTTGCATAAAATTAACTGTATACATAAATATTTGAAGAGTGGAGACTTTCTTGCTATTAGATGAGAACTGTAGTTCAACTGCTGTTTTATCTTTTAATGATAAGATCCCATTGCATTTTTGCAACAATAATAGGGGTTCCTTGAAAACATTTTAAGTGATGAAATTACATGATGTGTTTTAGCGCTAGTATTTTCCTCATGTTTTCACCTGAATAAGTTGTCCTTCATTTTTCTTCCCTTGCAAACATTCTTCTGCAGTGCTGCTAGCCCTGATTAAAAAGAAGAGAGCTATGTCTAAGTGGGATCCTATCATTTTGACCTTTAACCTGTACTTTTGTGTACAAACAAATATATGCACATTTATATATATATTTTGCCTATAATATATTAATCATAGGATTTCCTGAAATCTTATTACCAGTGCTTTTTATGTAAATATAGAATTGTGTTGCTTGGACCTTGCTATATTTCAGGGGGTGTTTCTTCTCTTTTCTTTCATTCTCTGAAATCAGTGTGAGCATTGCAATCAATTATAATTATACCAGTATTTCACCCTGAATTTTGTAAGAAGAGTTGGCAGTAATAACTATAGTTAAGATTGCCTAAGACCTTCTGCTGTATAGATTCTGTACTTAAAAAGAGAGAGGGATAGAAATTGTGCATAAGAGTACAATAAAACATGTCAAGATTAGCAAAGTTAATTTTATCTGTGTTACCTGAAAAACCAGAAGGATTTATTAGGGACTCTGACTTTATATTTTTAAATGCAATGTGACTGAGACCGATATAATTTAAAATAACTATTATTATGTAGTTCAAAAAATACTATAAAGATGGCAAGGCATTACTTCAGAGTATTACCAAAGAAACAATTATAGAATTGTCAGTATTGTAACCTGTAAAATATTTTTAAAATAATTGTTTTCTGGAAATGTTGAAGTAGAGGCAGCATCATATATTTATTTCTCGTTTCTTTTCCCAGACCACAGTCTAGAACAACTATTAATAACATGTTGCACTGCTACTGTGATTTATTAAAGTTACCTTAATTATCACATCCTTAATACTACTGAAGATGGTGAAGTATATATAATTATTTCTGTGAAAAAGAAAGAAATAATAAAACTCTAAATTACTGTTTTCTGTAATGTATCCCATTATTTCAAACAGTGTTTACGTCTTTTGCTCACAATACCTTTTATGAGCTGTGATTGCACCTATTTTTGTATAAGCACCTATTTTTATATAAGCAGGGGGAAGGCATGATTATTTTCCATGTATGTGTTTAGTTGTTTAATGTTATCTAACCTAATAGAAGGAGTGTGTGGTAGACACACAGCTTCACTATAGAAGATTCTGCAATCCTTTCTTCAAAATTTGGAAGTCCTAATATGAAGTTCATTGTAGTCAGCAGAATCTTTTTCCATAGGTGTCTGCATTTGGCACTTGCAGAGCTGAAAACCAGCTTTACTATTTGTGTGAATATTGTGGGCAGTCTTGATATATTTGCTGGTGAGGGATCCTCAGTCTGTAGCTGCACCAAAGCTGCTGTTGGATCCTCTCAGAAAAGCACAGTAATAATGGCACTAATAAAAATCCCTGACAAAGCTATGGATAAAATGGACAGTCCCCATTTGGCAGTAGTCAGGCAGGAGCTGTTCTGCTGAGTACAGCCAGAGAGGATTTCCAAGCCATTACATAACCTTTTTCTAGAGAAGTGAAAGGTCTTGAGGGAAGTTGAAGGAGTTGGTATTCTGGAATATCTGAATTGCATGTGTCCAAGAAGGCATAAGCTATACCAAGAGCAAAATGTTGACATACACAGACTGTCTCATATTCACAAGGCTTAGGGAATCTCCTGCTCCCATGGCATTTATATTGCTTGTGGGTCTCATGTTCCTGCTGCTTAGGTGTAGACTCTCTGTGGCTGGTCTATAATGGAGAGATTTAGTTGAAGTAGTCCAGAGGATCCACAGCAAATCAGCCATAACCCAATTTCTGAGGAACAGAAGAGACTGGTAGGACTAAAGCATGCACAGGAAGGTTTTTGTAAAAGGGCAGAGGTGTGTTAGATGTGGGTAAGTTTCATCCCACTAAAAAGAAATGTTTACATACAGGTGTCTGTATCTGAATTTATCACCTTATGCTCTTGTTAATGGGGTAAGTAATCATCTTTGGCATGAGTTGTCTCATCCCAAGATAACTGTTCAAGTGGCTCAGTTGAATCTCTAGCAAAGAAATACCTGTATCAGATAATTGTTCAAGTGGCTTAGTTGAATCTCTAGCAAAGATACCTGTATCAGTCTCTCTGACTGTAAGGGGAACAGGGATTATTTTTGTGCAGCTGTAAATGTCTACACTTTAAACTGCTTTTCTTTACTGCGTCTAGTTGCTGCAGAGATTTTTGGAAAGGAACTCTTGCAGATCTGGATATCAGACTTGCTGGGCACAAATGCTGTTAGAGTTGGCAACAAATAAGATAGTCAGACAGAGTTTGATTATGGGGTGCCACCCTGATGACAGATGAAAGCAGGGATGTGTTACTTCAAGATGTAACTGAGGGAAGAATGTTGCATGGGAGAAGTTGTGATATCCTCATTCCCTCCCTGTGTACTAACTTGTTACTAGGCTTGTGAACAGCTGTATTTGGGAGCACTGGAATTTATGTCTTTTTTGTGTCTTGACTTACATGAAAAATATATATATATCCTCTGTCAGTTCAAACATTACTGCTATCATTTGCTGCAGAGAGAGTTGGAGAGAGCTCACAATGGTAGATTATCCAGTGTTGCAGAGGATGCCTGCCTACCTCCCTGTGGTAGTTGAAGGCATTTAGGAGTGCTCAGCATCCCATGCTAGATTGCCCCTGAGTTGAGGTGGGTGGGGTTCTGTTGGAAGGGAGGCAGTGACTGATGACAGCAAGTTATTTATTGTTCTTCACAGCAGCAAGAGAAAGTGCCATGTTCACTCAGAGGACCTTAGGTCAGTCAGGAGCCTCCCACTCCATTAGCCCTGAGAAGCTCCAGGAAGCTGACACCAGTGAAGCACCAGAAGAGTCTGTGGGAAACCTGCTGGAAAGCAGGAACTATCTGTGGTGTGACATTACCCCAAATCTACCCATAACAGTCATCTGTCAGTGCTGGTAACATCTCAGCACCCAGAGAGCCCTCTGCTCTTGTCAGACCTGGATGATGGATGAAGTGGAAGACAAGTTTGAGGAATAAGTATTGCATTATTATAGTGAACAAATAGTAGGCAGCCGTTCTTGTTGCAGGTTAAGTAGGATCTAAATTACTTAACACCCATGGAATCTCTTTTTTCTTCTTCTCCTTTTAGTATGCTCTCCTCCTCAATCTCTTTTTATATAATCTGTTTTATTATATGTTATACTGGTAAATTCAGCAGCTAGGTTTACTTGCTGATTGCCAGTAACTCAACTGCCACTGGTAGTTGGGATGGCACCAGAATCCCTGCAGGGAAAGCAACAGGGGACTCTGCTGCTCTGAAAGGTCAGGGTACCTTATCAAGACTTAGGTATCACAGCATCTGTGTAGGGTCACTAGAGGTTGATTATCTTCTTTTTTTGTGCCATGGAACACATTAGGCTGGAATGATTTGTCTAAAATCTTAAAACAAGATAGTGACAGAGCTGGAAATAATCCCCAGAGTCAGGTGCTATTTGTAATATATTTTCTGCAAATATTACTTTATTTGGACAGGTTTTGGTCCAAATTTTGCAAATTTTAAAAAATAAAATAAAAATTTTGCCTTACCAAACTTTTGGCATCCACCACTTTATTTTAAATGCAAGGATGTCTGTCAGTCTGATGCTGCTACTCATCGCTTTCTTATATCCACTAATTTGTTGTAACTTACATTCTGAAGAAATGGGACAGACTATGGTTCAATAAAAGCAAGTAACAAGAAGATGGAAGAAAAAATGTCTAAAGCATGGTGGAAACCACTACCATTAACTTTATGCCTCATTTAGTGCCCCTCATTCTAATTCCTTTGTATATAATGATGTAAGTTTAAAATACCTTATATTCCCTAAGACTAAGACAATCTGTAAGATTTTAAGATGTTTGAAGAAACTGGCAAAACTATTCCAGACTTCAGTCCAGAATGTATCTTTTGTACTTTGACTTACACTTGATAGCCTAAAACTTAATCTGCCTTATTCATCATCTTCATCCCCTACCCTTAGAAACAGCTTAGCCAGAACAAATAGTGAATGTCTACAGAAATGGGTTTAGACATTAAAGTCATCTGTCCTGGCTTTTCATGTGCATCCTGGAGTTACAGTACTGATACTATACAAAACACAACTCTGTTGTCATAGATGTAATAAATAATACAGTGTGTTAGGCTTATGGGTACAAAGTGAGAGTTTATACTGTCCTCTAGCAAATCAGAGAATGCTAAAATGTTTACTCACAAAAGATGTTTTGTCTCGTTTCTCCATACCTGATCTTACTTCAGCAGTTATGAAAGTAAAAATTACTGTTGCAGTTTTGCACAAAAAGAGAAATTCTGCAAGAGCAAATTTAATGGAATTTCAACCACTTTGTAGTCCTTAGAATCTGCTACATTTTCCTCACCACTCAAATGATTTTAAATTATTAGTAGTTTTGGAAAGCTATTAGCATTATTTTCTCAGCTCACCCAAAGTTTTTGCAAGACTTATTATCTATGATGAATCACATCTTTTATTCATGTAGTTATAAATGCATTAGAGCTGACAGGTATAATTTGCTGCTTTTTCTCCTTTAGATTTAGCATGGTTTCTGAAAATAAGCTAATTTAATAACTAGGGAATTGAAGTTATAATCAAATTTATTATATTTACCAGACTTGAATTTCAGATAGGATAACATTAAAAATGTGCTTGTATAGGAAAGAACAGAATTGCTGGTGGGCATTGAATTAGCGGCCTGGAAAAGATTTTAAAATGTTGTGATCAGAGGCTTTATGATGATGAGAGGAGGAAGAGGAGTTGTGTTTATCTGTAGCTTTTACATGTTGCAAATTGGAATGAAGGTTAGAACCCCAGGCTGTTTTCTTTTTAGATTTGGCAGTGACTTAGAGTGTGCCTTTATAACATAGCCCTGCAGCTCTGCCTACAAATCTCTAAATTTCTATTAGAAAGGACATGCTGTTCATGTGCTTCTATGAGCACTTGCCACTATACATGGCATACCAGATGTAATCCCGTGAATTCTACATCCACCACATTTCTGCTGAATTCTGGATGAGATTTGTGCATGGAAGGCTTCTGGATCAAGGTTTCATGTCAGGAAGTGCTGTGTGAAAGGCCTATTCAGAACCAATCCAACAGAAACACAAAAAGTTAGGTCTTTTCTTGTAGCTCGTGTTAGTCTCCTCTGAGTCTTGGTCCCCCAGTCCTCTTAACCAAGTCTGTGGCACAGATTGTGTTTTATTTATTGATATATGTTAACAGCCTCTTATTTTGGGGCTCTATTAGTTGCATTTGTATTGTGGAGATTTCTAATTCCCTAAGGTGCTGCCTTTTGTCTTTGTGTACACAATTTAAACTGAAGCAGAGTTTTAGTTTTTTCCAAGGACTTCTACAGACTTCTAGATATTTAAGATCTGAAATTATGTTTCTTTATGGTTTGTCATCTGTTAAAGACTGCTGTCTGTACTAAAACCGGCAAAAGAGTTAAACAAGGACAAAAAAGAAGTGTTCCAGAGAGCCAATATATTGTACCTCTCCTGGAGGTACATTGCCACTTAGAAATCACTGGGAATAATGGTCATACAAATACAAAGAAAGACAATTTTAAAAAAATGACTGAAATTTTGCTTAATATTGAAAAGCTTAATTAAGGAAGAGCTTGAGGTTTCAGCATTTCTAGTGACCACTTTGTGCAAAGGGGATTTTCTCTGTGTGGATGTGGTACACCATTGGCAGAGCACAGTGAGTCAGCTGTTCATCTGTCTCTGCTGTAGTTCCAACCCTCCACAGCTGAGAATGCTCATATCACAAGTGGGAGGAGGAGAATATTAACCCCTGGCTAATTCAGAAGATGTCTGTGCTATGATGCAGAGCCCGTGGTGCTGAAGGTAGTTTTGACCAAGAGGTTATGGCACAGGGGCCATAGCTGATATGCACATACAAGGTCTTGCTCTAGAATTCCATATTCTTTTGGTCTCTGTTTTACAGACATAGTTCTTTTAGGAGTCTCATAGTTTGAAGATGACAAATTTAGTAAAAAAAGTTGAAGAAGATCTTATTGTTACAGGAGAAGAACTAAATGAACTTTTAGTAGAAAGGTAGGAACATGATGAAATGTCATAATACCCACTGCAAAGTCTCTGGGTATTATTCTTAAGAGCAAAATGCTAGAATTTTGTGCTAAATGCTGAGTGATTCAGAGCTTGAGGACACAGTACATGAGTAAGTATTTCTTGCCTTAGTCATCAAACAGCCACATTAAAGCATGACTAAGAAGAAAGGCAGAGCAGCAGTGAAATGTGGAGATGATGAGATAGCTCCATACTGATCTCATCAGCAGAACTGGAGATGAGATCAAAGATGATTGAATTGAGTTGATTGAACCTTGCTCAAAAAGTAAAGAAGTAGGGAAGAGTAAGAACCTTCAATAATTAGAAGCAATCAGAGGGAGAAAACAACCCCCCCCAGAAGACAAGACGTAAAAACAGCTCACATGACACAGTAATCTCATAGCTTATGCTGTCAGCAAAAAGAGATTGGATGAGTTTCTGCAGATTCAACAATACTTGCCATGCAGAGGCAGTCAGTACTATTGAAATGCTGAAACTGATGGGAACCAGCTAGGCTGTCGTGACTGGGAACAGACGTCCTCCAAAGAGCATGAGACAGCATTCTGCAGCGTGAGAAATCCTTGCCTAACAGTCCAAACTGCTTGTTTGTTAGGAGGACTGGGACCTCTATCTTTCATGAGATAGGAGTTTTGCCTTTTTCTTCATTAGTGTCTGTAGGTACCCAGTCTGCTTCTCAGTGAAGATGGAACAATCTTTTTTTTTTTGTAAATGCAGCGTAATGGAAATTAATTTTCAGCAGTTATATGAATTCTAAATATCAGCATTAGGAGGAGCAAGGGTGCCTGTGTTTGTGAATATATTCAAGAAAGAGTACAATATTGGGTGCTTTTCCTCTCCAGCTCAGTATGAATTAATGTTTTGTAATGTGCTAGGCATAACTCACCTCGAGTTGAGCTGTTTATATTCCCCCGTGGAGAAACTGCTTAAGTTCATGCAGTTCTATACCATCAAGCAGTTGAAACTTGAGCCACTTGTGTGAATCTTGCCTCAGGAGGTTTGAGGTTGCTGCTGAATATTTTTGGCCTGTGGACAGAGGTAGGATTTGCATTAGCAGTGTCTCAAAGGTGGCTGAAGTCTTGAGGGTCAAAGCAGCCACAGTTAGCCCTAAGTGCCTGAACACACAATAGCTGTGAGTTGTATGCCTGTGCCGCCCACCTAAGAAGTGTAGGGGAAGAGTCAGGCTGCTCTGTGTTTAATGGGAAAAGGAATAAAGACTGTGATCTCCTTTCTTAAATGCTGTTTAAAAATGTAAAAATTATCTAATTTTATCTTCTACTCAGGAATAGCTTTTCTAAGGACTGCTCTTGAAAGGAATTGCTGGGAATGCCAGTTACAGGCAGAATTTAGTATTGAGCTTTGTCTCATGGTGTATATCTCATGCTGTCATATTGCCTGCATCAGCTTTTCTTAGTTTGCTTAAGAATCATGTGAATGAAAAGGTACCATGAATTAAAAAGTACTATGCTTATTGGCCTTCTTGGCAGCTCATGTCTGTTCTCCATAATGTGGTAGGATTTCCCAGTGTGGTAGTATTTCCCAAATACTCTAGAGCAAAGATCATAGCTGTACATCCATGAAACAGGAAATCTTTAGTGATGTCTGTGTATCCTATGAAATAGGAAATCTGTAGTGGTTAGTCTGGGTTGACATAATTTTCAGAAGGGCTGAGGAGGTATGAAGTGGTATAGAGTAAATTTTTATATGAAAAAACTGCCACATATTAATGGAAGTGTGATCTCACTGCAAAAAAGATGAGGCCAGGAATTTTGAACAGTGGGAGCTTGTCTTCAGGCACTGAAATCCTTATCCTTACTTAGGATATAAGTAATTAAATAGTTAAAGACATGGAGGAATCACAACAACCTCATGCAACCCTATAGTCTTGGGGCAGAGTGCCTGGAAAGCTGCCTGGTGGAAAAGGACCTGGGGATGATGGTCAGCAGGAGCAGAACATGATCCAGAGTGTGCCCAGGTGGCCCAGAAGGCCGATGGCATCCTGGCCTGGATCAGCCAGGTGTGGCCAGCAGGAGCAGGGCAGTGACCGTCCCCCTGTACCCAGCACTGCTGAGGCCACAGCTCCAATCCTGTGCTCAGTTCTGGGCCCCTCAGTGCCAGAGAGACATTGAGGGGCTGGAGTGTGTCCAGGGAAGGGCAACGGAGCTGGGGAAGGGTCTGGAACACAAGTGCTGTAAGGAATAGCTGGGGTTTTTTCACCTGGAGAAAAGGAGGCTCAGGGGCAACCTTATCCCTCTCCACAACTGCCTGAAAGGAGGCTGTAGCCAGGTGGGGGTCGGTCTCTCCTCCCAGGTAACAAGTGATAGGGTGAAAGAGAATGGCCTCAAGTTGTTCCAGAGTAGGTTTAGACTGGATATTAGAAAAAATTTCTTCTTGGAAAGAGTTATCAATCATTGCAACAGGCTGCCCCAGGAAGTTGTGGAGTCACCACCCCTGGAGGTATTTAAAAGTTGTTGTATATTTGGCTCTTAGGGACATGGGTTAGTGGCAGCAGACAGTGCTGGGTTAATGGTTGGATTCAGTGATCTTAGGGTTCTTTTCCAATCTAAACAATTCTATGATTCAATGAAGAGATCTTAATGAACCTAATTTTCTCCAAGTATTTCCTGCAGTTCACTTCTGAGCACTCATGTAAGGCATCTTCAGAGGTTTTGAATGTAATTAGCCAAAAAGAGACACCAATGAACAGTTCTGAGAATCTTAGCCTTTCAGTCTTAATTTGGGCTCTAATTTTTGAATTTTTGCTCTTATAAATGCATAATTTAAAGTTATTTCAGTAATGGAAGTTTTTTGATTCTCTGTTCTAAGAGAGACCCCACTTGTAAAACATCCTTATTAAAAGGCTGATTTTTTAAAGCATGTTGCCAGTAAAGTTCTTTTTTGAGTGTGACATTTGCATGTGTTATGAATAAGTGTTTGTGATCGCTTAAAAAATTGCTTAAAAATTGCTTAAAATGCTTACAGATTTGCTTTTACCTTTCAGAAATGTTAAGAAATGAGCTTCATTCTCACTGTTCATGGACAACTCTAATGCCTCAACTTTTGAATAGCATTGAAGTAAAGTTTCAAAGTGAATTTGAAGTGTTTCATAGACTCTGCACTATGTAGACTTTGCTTAAATCCAAGGAAAATGGAAAATATAATAATAATAATAAACCCCCAATATTTTCTCTTGTCTGAATACTGTGCAAAGATGCTTTAAATGACTAGACAAAAATTATGAAAGCAGCATATGACCTAAATTATAAATAAAATATGAGGACTACTGGACCAAAATCTGCATGCAGGAAAAATAGAGTGACAATCAAATCTACAGAGAGGACTATTCAAGTACATTTACTGAGCCCTCAGTCCTCACACTTTTACAGCTGAGAGTCACGTATTTTGAGCACCTGGACTGCAAACAGTCTTTCCAGAAATTCACTACGTGACTCTGCAAATGTTTAAGCAGTTCTTGGATCTTTGACTCATCTCCCTGTTCTTGGTGTACCTGGATTTTGCTTTCATCTGTCCATCTATGATGACTTCCACAGCTTCCTAATTATGTAAGCTGTGACTGAGAATGGCCTACAAATTCTGAGTGTTTGCAGTGATGAACTAGAAAAGGATTTTTTACCTGAGGGAATAAAATACTCAAATTTGCTTGTTTTGCATTTGTATAAATTGTTAACACTCCAGCAATAGAGTGGTGCGGTGGTAGCTTACCTAAGGGGGGAGTTTGCTCCTTTTTTTTTTGAAGAGAGGGGTTTGCAGTGTCATCACCATCACTCCACTGGAAGACACAACCAGAGAACATCCAGTCTAGAGAAGGGAGCAAGCTTATAAGCTTATATCAGAGCTCTCCTTAGCAGCCCTCAGCAGGGTAGCAGAACCAGGTTCCCACATGCAGAGCTGGAACACTCAGATGATAGCAAGAACACAAGGTATGAATTTTCAAAAAAAGTTCAAGCAAATTCCTTCTGCTTGTTCATATCAAGATTTATACAAATAGCATAACATGAGGCTTGGCAAGATAATTTTCCTTCAGTTTTGCCATGTGTTTCTTCACAAGCCTGTGCCCCATTAAAAAAAGCAGGATACTTAATACTAGATGTCTGCCTGATGTCTCACATTTGCATGCTTAGTTCTGTTGGCTGCAGTGCTACTGCAGTAACAGCAAGGTAGTCACAGCCAATTTGTTCGTATCTGCAGAAGTGAGTTCTCAATGCTTAGTTGTGCGATAAAGTCAGTCCCTGAGAATCTCTGACAGTAATTGCCATTCTCCTCCTCAAACCTAGAGCAATATTTAAAGCAGAGGAATCTCCTGAACAGTTTATTTCCCCATTCCCTGTCAGTGATTTCACTGCAATGCCTAGAAAAAGCAAAGTAGTTCAGGCGGCACCTATTTCTGGCATGAAATCCTAGTTGTGGATTCCCAGTGCTGATGTGTTTTTCAGATCCTCTGATGAATTTCTAAGCTCTCTTGGAATAACAGCTTCTAGGAGGGGACTAAAATTCCTATGGTGGATTTCAGGTTTGCAAACTTTGATGAAATCTAAACAACAGGGTGGGAAAGCTGTTTTTTGTCAAGAGCAGCCATGAAAGCAGAGAAGCAAATTCTTGTTAGTAGAGAGCTTTTCATCTCCTTGGAAATTTTTTCTGAGAAAAGTAGGGTAGGATGTGGAAATCAGTATGAATTTTGAGGAGTGGGGGCAAAGGAATGAAGACTCTTTTCTGTTCTGCTCCTCTGCAGGGAGGAGATATTCCAGCTATGGATAAAGATACAGCCTGGTACTCAGAAGTCTTTTGGTGACTCTCATAAAAGCAGTGCCTTGACATCCAGAGAGAGGCAGGGACAGTCACATTGAGGGCTGTGTAGTAGCTCAAGAACCTCTGTTGGTTTCTTTATCCTTCTCTGGTAAGCCTGAATTCACTTATTTTAAACCTAGAAGATGCAGCTATTACCATTAACTCCCTGTGTAACAGCAAACATGGCTTGTAGCTGTTCATGGCAAAGACGTGGAGTAGAAAAACTCCTTATCTGAAGTACCTTAGATACACATCACAGACATTTCCAATTCTTCACCAGCAAATAGGACACTATATAAAATATTTTTGGTAGCTCACAACAGCATATGAAAAGATTACGCCAATGGCACTTCGTACAGTGTGGTCCCTTCTCTTCCCCCTTCACCTTTTGCCCAGTTTTTTTATAAACTTAGGCTGGGCAAACAGAAATGGCTTAAACAGAAGATGGCAGTCCTCTGTGGGGAATGGCTTAGGAATCTTGCAGCTCGGCTCCCCACAGCTACTGACTTCTCCAGAGCTTCTCCCCCTTTCCTCCCTGTACAAGAGGGAAGGGTCTCCAGTCTTGCTGTCTAAGCATTAAGTTCAGGAGAAACAAGCCACATTCTAGTCAGAAATACTTTTGTCTTGGCCAGCCAACAGGAAAGCATTAGTATAATATCCAGGATAGTTATTTAAAGCAAACTGTTATATTCTGTTCCTTCACATTACTGAATCAGAGTGCAGTTACATACTGTTGAGTTATTGGTGAAATAGCAACAGAATGATTAAGAACATCACCAGGCAAAACCATGCAAAATATGTTAATTATCAACAAAGTAATTGGATAGCATTTAAGCAAATGAAACGGACACAGGCGTGCAAAGGATTATAATAACTGTAGCAGAGAGTGGAGGTTTCCGAGTGATGCATTCCAAGTGACCCAACTAAATTTACTACCAGCAAACAGAGGACTTTCTCATCACTGCTCTACCTCAAGGAGTCATGAGAGGGGATGATGACCCCAGAGGTATCAGTGGTTCCCCAAAAATGGGAAATTTTAAGTGAGAGTAGGAAAGCTTTAGAGAGGAAGAAAACAAATTCTGTTAGATGGCTAACAAGGTATATTTCATGAAAAGGATAACTTTTAAGCCTATTGTGGTTCAGTGGTTACAACAGTCAGAGTAAAAATGCAATATATAATACTGAAAATAATTTTTAAATTGAGGAGGGAGAAAAAGTATAAAATCTATCTGCAAAATGGGAAAAGTGATAAAGTCAAGCTGAAGTCTACAGGAAGAAAGTCAGTCACTGCCAGTTTTTTAAAAGATGTGAGTTTTCTACAACATTTGTAAAGCAAGCATTCCTACTGATAATGTGTGAACTTCTGTTAGATGGAGATAGTATCCTTAAAATAATGTAGGAAAGGACTAAGTTTTTATTGATTTGGAACCAGGAAGGAAGAAGATGATGGAGATGGCGATACTGAAATATTTTCTAAACCATTAGCAGAAAAGGAGAGTTCTTAGTAAACATAGCCTATGCAACTTAAAGAACTGAAATTACTGTGTGTCAGAACACCCCACACGAGCGCAGATGTCCTCCCTTTCCCAAACACGGCCTCCAGCATCACTTCCACCCCACTCAGCTGTGGGCTGATGCAGAGCTGCCTCCAGGTCTCTGCGTGCCCAGCACTCCCTTGTCCGCAGTGACTGCTCCCTTCTTCAGCTGCAGCGGGCACACGATGCTTGCCCAGCAGCTGGGGTGCACGGCCCCGTGCTCCGCTTTGGCTCCTCATCCGTAGCTGTGGTCGCAGCTACGAGGTCATGGTCAGCCACCAAACCGGCTGAAGGAATCGCAAAGACGAATGGTGTCCCTGACTGCCCCATTATGATCTTGTTCGTCAGCTCTTCGTGCTGCTGGCTGGGGCCGTGGCGCCGGGTCTCTCTCCCCGCAGTTTTCTGAGCGGTGCTGGCATCCTGGACAGGCGTTCTGCTCGGAGCGCTGCTCCCGCCGCGCTGCCCAGCCCGGCCGCCCGGCTCCCGCAGCACAGCCCGGCCCCAGGGCACGGCCCTGGCCCCGGCCCCGGCCCTGGCGGGGCTGTCCCTGGCGGGAGCCGGGCTCCGACAGAGCGGGCCGCGGGCTCCGGCCTGGCACGGCAGCGCCGGCCGGGGGCACGGCGGGGCCGCCCCGCTGGCTTTGCCCGCTAGAGGGCAAGAGAGCCCCGCAGAAGCGCGGCTGCCCCTGCCCGCAGCCCCCGGCCCGCCGCGCCCGGGCCCCCCTGCCCCGGCGGGGTCAGCGGCGCGGCCCGTGGGGAGCAGCCCCGGGCGGCCCCTGCAGGCCTGGGCTCGGGGCCGGTCGGCACGAAATGTCCTGGGTGCCGTGGAGGGAGAGGTAATCCCTTCCGTCGGGAAAGCTCTCAAGGCCTTTGGCCGTTCCGAAAGCGGGCACAGAGCCATCCTGGAGCTGGCACGGACCTAATCCGTCGGGGGACGGCACACCGGGCTGCTGCCGCGCCTGCCGCAGCGCACACGGAGCGGTAAGTGGGGCACGCACCAGCTCCTGCCGAGCTGGGCAGGTGCCGAGAGGCGCCTTCTCCCTGCCCGGCAAGGGGGCGAGGACCTGGCTGCTGTCTGCAGCTCCAGTCTAGCACTGGTAAGTAGCATCCAGCTCATGGTCAAGCTATGTGCCTTGGTTGGTGTACAAAGGCCGCCTCATCTGTCAGGCAGTGAACTTTCTACAGGAGAAGAATATCAGGCAAAGGAAGAGCCTCCGGGATGCCCTGCAGCCTGCTAGGAAACCCTACCGAGACTGCTGCTACAAGTGAGCACCCACAGTATGGGAGCATGAAGAAGGCAGAAACCTCTGACGAGGCACTTGTTTGGGCAGGGAAGGTGCACCAAGAAAAGCACTGGTCATGGCAAAGAAGTTCTCATAATGAGCAGTTCTGCGAGCCTTGCCACACAAATTGTTTGCCATGTGGAGGCTTCTGCGGTCACCTGCACAAATGGCAACCCTGATTTCCTCCCTTTTTCTCCTTTCAATCAGTGGCACTTTGGCTCTTGAGCTGGAGGGACTTGCAACATAGTAGACAATGAATTCATTACTAAAATAAGCAGACACAAGCTATGTACAAATAAACACGCCACAGAAATTGCAAGCATATTTGGCAGCTTTCATACTTACATCATCCTGTCTACCTTCAAGTATCACCAACAGGGACGTGCGTTCAAAAAGACTGTGTTGACACCTGTGTCAATGCACTTGACTTTATCCTAATAACTCCTTCCCTAAGATGATCACAAAGATCATATTCTGCCAGTATTTGTTTATGTGATTCACTGATTCCTGTACACTGCAAAATACCATAACACCATGAAAAGTCCATATCAGATATGCCACTGTTGCTGTGTATCACATGGTGACACTGACACTGGTGTTTTCTTGGAATTTTCCATCTAAACTGCATGTTTTACACTACTCCAGTGTGAAATTTTGATGAACTGGCCTTTTCCTGCTTAATTCTGGAATTTTTATAGGAATCTTTTTGGTCATAAATACTGCTATTTTTTCTACAGTCTCTAAAGTGAGAAAGCAAATACATTCCTCCAGTTTAAATTTTCTGGATTTGTAGACATTTTTTTTATTAATCCAGTTAACCTGAATCATATGGCTTTTTGTTTTGTTTTGTTTTCACAAATGTTTTCTTTATTTCCAGTCAATCTAATGTTTGATAATCATGACTTTCAGTCATTTTTCATTGCTGAGATCACATGAGTTTTCTTTGGAGTGTTAATTTCTGTGGCTGTATTAATAGTTTAGTGCCCTCACCAGCCATTCTGGGGAAATGCTCAATCACATGTATGAGGCAGCAGGTGGGATCCATGCAGTCCTAGCTGGACCTCTGTCATGTAGAAGTCTACATCTAATATAGGCTCCCTCCATACACGAGGAAGAATAAAGCATCTTTAACACATGAGTCATGTCATCCTAAAGTAGATGCCTAGAATAGGTCAGATGATTTGTGCCCTAAAATTGCTCCTATTTCTCTGTGTTAAAGAACAAGTAATTTATAGCTTGATGTTTCAATTCTAGCAGCCTCAAGTGAGATGAGACTAATTAATAGTCTTATATCCAGGTTTGTGTCATGCTTTGAAATACCCTGACAATTCTTATTTGTCAAGAAAGCTGAAAATAGCATTACTTTTTATATTATTCTCAATTTATATATATAAAAAAGCTTTAAAAAGTTTTCTGCCTCAAGACATTTTAGTAAAAATGGCAAATGCCATGTGTTTCATGGGAAAGTCATAACACCTCTCTTTTTAATAACTGAGTCTTTCAGTTCTCTGTCTGCAAGGATGGAAAATAAATGAGTTAGATACATTAAAGGTCCAGAATAAGAACCTGCTTTTGGTGAAATTATACAATACAGGAGGAGTTAAAAAAAAAAACCCAAGAAAAAACTCTTTTGGCAGGCTGAATTATTTTTATATGACACTCAAAAAATGATATGTGAAATGATCTTTTTAAACTAAACTAGGTGGCAGAGTACAGGTGAAATAGTTTTCTTTTAAAAGTGCCATAATATCTAAAACCTGACAGAGGTGTCACATTAGTGTGGTACATGTGAGAAGAACGTGTGCCAGGAACTCCTCAAGAAATGCAGGATCCTTCTGACCAGTTCTGCTCTCTGGAGTTAAAATCCTGCATAAAGCTGATGAGTAAGCTCTTGATGACTCACTGTGGCAGATGCAGTCTTTAATTCCAGGAGGGTATAAGGGAAGTGGGTGTGAATCTCGAGTAGAGGGGAGCTAGGGATGTTCCTGCCTCAGTGTCTTGGGGATAAAAGTGTAGGTTTTTAATACAGCCCCAGCTATCAGCAATGCCAAACTTCTGTAAGGGGTAAGTTTGACATTACACATCACACATAGATTTTATGTGAAGCAAGGTTGGAATACCACCTACTCACAGATGGGTATAATTTTGGGGATGTCCTGCATAATTCATGTGTGGCTTTGATACTTATGAGTAATTCAGACATCAAAGCCTCAACTTAGATAACACTTCTATAACACTAAACTTCCTATAGCAAATAACCTGTAGGCTTTCATTTAAGTCCCTTAACAATAAAAAAAAAAGGCAACTATTCCAGTACTTTCTTCTTTACATTAAGATATTTTTCATAAGGTAAGCTGGTGTGAAGTACAACATAGAAAATACTGAAGCCTGAAGTAAAGAAAAAAATCCATATTATACTCTTCACTGGGACTAGAAATGTAAATTTAAAGCACTAGAAAGGAGATGGGAACCTCTTTCCCGAGAGCACACCAGATACCAGGCCCTTATGGTCACTCGGCAATATTCCCCTCTGCTTTGCCAGTGGCACAAACCTTCACTTTTCTGCAGTGCAATCTTTTAACAAGCAATTTTATGTTCTCTTCCAGGTTAGCCATTATGCATGGAAAAATCTCCCCATTAATAACCGTAAAGCTCCTTTATTGTTCTCCTTCAAATCTCCTTAAAACTTCCTTCTGACACCAAACACTTGTCACCGGCTGGGCCTGTTGCTTTTTATTCTCAAGGCTGTTTTTCCCTTATCCTTCCCCCATGGGTTTGTACTATACACCTGTTGTCTTTCATCATGGGTTAAGATCATAAGCTCTTTGGGCATAGACCATCTCTCTTATTACATGTGTCTACAGTATCCCACACAATGGAGCTGTGAGCCCCGAATGGGGCCTCTGGGTACTGCCATGATCCACTTGATAAAGAATGATGATTTTTGACATGGTGAGTTCTGCAGTTTTTCCCAAGTCATTCTGCAGTTGTTCACGCTGATATAACCAGTGTGTGAGAGCAGTGTCCTTAAATCCTAAAAAAAAAAAGAAAAAAGGATGAATGCTTTGGAACTATTTGCTAGAGAGCAAGGACTTTTCTGCTTTGGTGTTGGGTTGTTTTTTTTTTTTCTGTTCCTGCATATTGAAATGCATGGGCTGACATGCAGCAACTCTTTCTTTTTGTAGGTTTGTACAGAACTAGAGTGATGTGACCCTGCTCTGAAGCTTCTGCATCCTGTCCTTCAAATTGCAATAAAGACTGTTAGAGTCAAATAAAAGGGGGGGTGGCTCCTGCACCACTGGCGTGAGTCAGTTCCCTAAAGGTCCGTGTGGATTCAGGACACAGCTTTTCCCTGCTGCAGTTTCCCCGCTAGACATGGAAACTAGTCTCTCTCCCTCCTCTTGTGTTTAGTCACATTGGCAAGCAGAGGGATGCAGGAAAGCTGCACCAGTCAGAGCTGGACTGCTGCCTTTTGTGGTGGGGAAGGCAAGGAGAGCCACCCCCTCTACTGCATGCCCATCGAGCAGGAGGACATGCAGAGTCGGTTATTTTTAATTAACCCCCTTGCAAAATTCTCCTTCTCTAGAGTTCTCTTTCAAGGCTCCACCAATGACCTTCCTGGACCCCTCTACCTCAGCGGTGGACATCATCATTCACACCATGCAATCTCTTCCCCCAGCCCCCAAGATATTATATTTCTCCTCCTTTTCTCCCTCCTGCCTCTCACCCCCCACCATTCCCAAATGAGCCTGTCTTTAGGTTTTGTGCTCAATTCAAGGGTTTGCCGGAGTGTCCTCTCCGCCTTGCTAGGCTCCGCATCGTGCCCAGTCCTTGAGCTCTGCTCAAGAAAGCTTTTGCAAATGCAGGAGACCTTCTGGCCCTTTGCTGATTCACACAGCTCTTTTCGAAGGGCAAAACCACAATAACACCAATTCTGGGCATTGTAAGAAGAAAGAGAAACCCTCTCTCCACTTGCCGAGTCTCTCCCGACAGTTTTAAATAACTTCATTTTGGGGGGCGGGGGAGGGATTGGGGGCAAGGAGAACACATATTTCGCACTGCACCCCTATCTCCCCCCATACCACCTCCTACTCGCTTCTCCCTTCTCTCTTACACACTGCGGCCGAGCTAGGAGCCACGGGTGGCCCGCGGGGCGTCCCGGGCGGCGGCGGGGCCCCGGCGCTCCCCGCACCGCCAGCGGCATCCCCGAAGCTGCCCCCGGCAGCGCAGGGGCAGAGCGGGAGGGCTGCGCACTGCCGGGGCGGGGGGCCAGAGCGGAGAAGGCAAAAACTGCGGCGTGGGCAATACCGACCCGCACCACCCGCCCCGGCTCCCCGAGTTCCCGCGGCCCCCCGGTTCGCCCGCCGGAGCTGAGTTTGAAGCCCGCTTGGGACAGCGGCAACCCGGTTACCTGCGGCAGAGCGGGCCGGGGCCGGGCTGCGGAGCGGTGCGGGGCGGGCTCGCCTCCGCCTCCCCTGCGGCGGGGCCGGGCCCCGGGCCGAGCTGGGGCTGGGCGGGCAGGGCGCTGCCCGCCCCGCTCCCCCCGCCAATGTCAGCGGGGACTCGGGCTATGCGGGCATCTCCCGAGGAGCCCGCTTCCCGCAGCGGGCGGGCGCGGTATATTTAGCATCGCGTCGCTTTATTCCTCCCCCAAAGTTTCGCCCACTTATTTATTTATTTGCCGGCGAGCGCCGCGCTGCCGCAGAGCAGCAAGAGCCGCTCCGCGCCGTGCCGAGCGCTGGAAGCGGCTCGGTATTGCAGCAGGTAGGGCTGAGCGCTAGGACCTCGGAGAATCCTTCCAGCAGCAATCAGGACTACCTTAAACCCAGCCCAATGCCTCTTCCTGCGCCACTCTGCGTGCTGGATGGAGATCCACAGTCAAGAGCTGCAGCTCAGTGCTGGAGTACAACATTTCACAGGGAGCCCTGCAGAAGCAACACCTGTTTCGAGCCAGCCAAGAAAGACACAAGCACTTGTATGTTGCTGCTTTGCTTGTGGATCGTCAATAATCCTAAACCAGTGGACATCTGCTGAGCCTCCTGAGAATTCTGGATAATAGATTTGGACGTCAAAAGTTTTTTTTTCCTTTTTCTTTTTTCCATTTTTTTTTGGATTTATCTCAGCCAACAACGTGAGATTTCCCCCCTCCCCCTTTGCAGGATTCATGCTGATGTATGCAGTCTGTTATAGAGTAAAAACAGCGCATGCCTTTCTGGAGTCAGAATCCATAAATCCTGACGTAGCCTGTGCATCTTAAAAAAAAAATCCCTATAACGCCTAGGTATTTAAGTTGCTATGGTCATTCTTATCTTAAACCAAATGGAGAAACTACGGATTTTTTTCTTTATTACAGTTGGATGGGCTGAAGACCGTATTGCTTGCTAAGAGCTGGGGATATATGCATTTATATAGATATACACATCTATATGTTTATAAATATGTCAGTGTGTGAGTATAAAGTGGTGGTTTCTTAGACTAACTGGTTTGACCTTGAACCTGTACCAGTCAAAACAGAATATTACTTTTATTTATGCATTTAATGGATTGAAGAAAGAACATTTTCTCTGTAACTGCGCTAGGGAGGGGAGAGGAGTGGAATATACCTAATCTTATATCTCCTGGGTTTGGCACCATCATTATTGTTTATTCTCATTCTCTAAAAGCAGAATCTTCTGATGGCTCCCTTAGGTGAAGTTGGGAACTATTTCGGTGTGCAGGATGCAGTACCCTTTGGGAATGTGCCCGTTTTGCCGGTGGATAGTCCGGTTTTGTTAAGTGACCACCTGGGTCAGTCTGAGGCAGGTGGGCTACCCAGGGGGCCTGCGGTCACGGACTTGGACCATTTAAAGGGGATCCTCAGGCGGAGGCAGCTATACTGCAGGACTGGATTTCATTTAGAAATCTTCCCCAATGGTACTATCCAGGGAACCAGGCAAGACCACAGCAGATTTGGTAGGTATTTTCCTTAACCCTTTAGTGGTCATGTGATGAAATAATGGGGCAGAACTGCGGGCGGGGGGACGGTGGGGGGTGCGAGGCG